ACAGGATAACTTTGATCAATCTTTTTTATATAAGCATTATGATTTTGCTAAAAGAAAAAATATTAATAAATCAACTAGAATGATAGTGTTGGCACTTCCTCAATGTTTCAAGTACATGATTATGCAATATTTTATTCCACTTTAATATTATATTTTGAATTGCTTTTTTTTTTAATAAAGCTACGATTCTTATTCAATCTTAACTAGCAGGGTAACTTTAGTGCCTCACTGGTGTTTCCGCAGTATAACAACGTAATATATGTTTACTCTAATTTTTGACATGTTCTTTTATATATATCTGCATAGGTTTACTTTATTTTGATATTTAGAACTTCGATATGCCTTTATCTACTGATGATACATTAAATGATAATGAACTAGAGAATGCTGATTATATGTTAAATAATTGTGAATTGGAAGATACTGATGATATGTTAAATGATTGTGAATCAGAAGATGCTGATGATATTTTAAATAATCGTGAACCAGGAGATGCTGATGATATGTTAAACAATAGTAAACCAGAAGTTACTGATGATCTGTTGAATTCTTTAGAACTGATGACTGGACTTACCTTTCAAATATGAGAAGAATTTAAATATTGGATTCACAGATTTGCATTGAAGAACGGCTTTGACTACAAAATTAGGAGTAGTGAGGCAAATCAGGCTATGATCAATGAAACTTCACCTCAGTTTCGAAAATTGACACCTGAGATGCTAGCTGACATTAAAAAGTATGCAATTCAAGGCAGGCTAGATTCCGCATCAATATACCCTTTAATTAAACATAATTATCCCACCTAGCCTTTAAATAAGCATGACTTGTACAATGCCATTTACAATTTTCGCCGGAATAATAATCCGGGAGAGTTTGATGCCTCTTTGATGCTTCAAACCTTGTTAAGTTAGAAAGAATCAGACCCATTATAGGTTGTTAAGCCATGATTAGATTCAGTATCAAGAAAGTTGAATTCACTGTTTTGAATGTCATCATCTCAAAGATTATTATACGAAAATTTTCACAATGTAATATTTATGGATACCACATCGAATACGAATTGGTTCCAAATGATGTTATGCATTATTGTAGTAATTGATAATAATTTTAAAACAAGGATAGTAGTATAGTCTTCTTGAAGATGAAACATTAGAATCATTTTAGTAGTTTATGCGACTTTACTTGAAGAAACCGGTATCATTCCTACAACAATATTTACTGACAGTGACCCGGCGATGATAAGTGCTTTAATACTGTATATCCCACTACCAAACATATGATATGTATATTTCATATTGATTTAAATCTTAAAAAGAAGTTAAAAGGTAAATTAGGTTCTAATTTTGAGGCATTTTGTTCAGAGTTTTACTGCTGCCACAATAGTTTATGTGAAGCTCTTTTTGAAAGTTGATAGTCCGAGTTGTTAGATAATTATCCAGCTAGCACAAAATATTTGAATGGTACAT